TGAGCAAGAGTCTTTGATAGTTGGCACAGAACGTGAAAGATGCTTTACGGGCCGTAATCAAGATGCATCATTACTCCTACGTTTTTTGTCACTTTCATTCTACGGAAATTACGCTATCAAGAGCACCGAACTATATGACCCTGGTTCTCATCAATACCTCGTCGACAACGGTGTATATCCTAATACGAACGAGTATCCGGATAGGAGTGTTTCCGCTAAGCCACACAGTTTAGAAACGCTCACATGAATGCTGGCCCAGCCACGACCGTCGTTTTCGCCGTCTCGTTTAGCTGACGGAGTATTCAGAGACTTCAGACGAGCTGATTCGCATGCTGCCAAACAAAAACAGGTGTATGAGTTGGTGTATCCTATTTTCGAAGGCAAGACCGGGGATGCGAGATGTCGCTCGGGAGGGATTTCCTTTACTAACCTCGACCCTTTGACGGATGGCACGCTCAAGCTGGGCAATCCAGACGTCTACTACGGGGCGCGGCCCGAACAGCTCTGTATTACTACACAAAGTTTAGGGAGGTAGTGAGAATTATTCTTGTTACTCTTCTTGCGCGCGCCCGCAGGCTCGGAGGAAGAAGAGCGGGACTAGGCCTGAATCCAGTTAGCGCATTCCCTTATCGATACTGAACGCTGGCCTCACAGCATTGAACAGGGCGCGTCTTTGAACCCCGCTATACTCACGAACTCAGTACATCAACACCCATCGGCAATGGGGTCTGGCTTCTTTCTGCAAAAGTTTCCTCATCTTCAATCAACCCAGGTATCATACGAAGTCGTTATACTGGCCCGACGTACCGGCCTTCTGAATGTTCTTTCCTTCGCATGCAACCCGTGCATGACAGAATGAAAGAGTGCTCGTCTCATAGCATCTATGGGGAGCGGCTGCTCTCAGGCATGTTCAGAGCTTCTAATGAAGCTCTGAAGCCGGAAGTTAAAAGGCCCAGCCCGAGTAGAACGCAAGACATGTCTATCTGAGTGATAGCCTGTCATGGTGCTCACAAAGCTAACTAATCGTTCGCGTGCTTCGGGTCGTAGAGGGCCTTACCAACGTCATCGGGCTTCGATATCGTCTATTACACCCCGAATCTATGCTCTATAAGGTCGCCAAGTGCAAGAGCGGAGCCTCAAGCGGAGAACCAAGCGAGAGCTGGGTTTATCCACCAATAGACCTTGACCATCACGGCTGCGCAACAAAACCACTTATACCAGCGCATCGACTCTTGGACTGACCACAATCATCTTCTTATATTATCAAGCCCGTCTTCTGGCAGTTTCAAGTACCAAGATGGCCGCCAATGCTCTCGTCGAATCGCTGAAAAGCGCCAACCTACTCCCTTCCGCCATCATCCCAGAGTCTTTCACCCCAACTCTGGACCTCAGCGTCAAGTTCTCCTCCGGACTTACCCCAGAGAATGGAAGTCTCGCTCGTGTAAGCCAGGTCAAAGAGCAACCTATCATCGCCATCTCGTCTCCACCAACATCTTCCGCCGCGAGCTTCACATTCATGATGATCGACCCCGATGCGCCTACACCGGACGACCCAAAGTTTGGCTACTGGCGCCACTGGGTTGTTACCTCTATTCCTTCTCCATCAGCGACCACCTCTCCAGACGATATCACCGCGAGAGGAAAGACGCTCACACAGTATTTGGCACCTGGACCGAAGGACGAGAGCGGGCCACATCGGTATCTTTTCCTTCTCTTTGAGGAGAAGGCAGGCGAGACTGTAGAGAAGGCAGATGTTGGAGGTGAGGAGTTTGTTGAGAGGAGAAGTTTTAGAGCAGAGCAGTTGGCGGAGAAGAAGGGATTGAAGTTGGTTGGAGTCCAATGGATGCGAGGAGTGGGCGATGGGTGGAAGGGCGAAAAGGATGAGTTATAGAGATATCTATTGAGAACTAGGAATCTACGACGTATCGAGTGTCTTGTCAGGTTCCGGAAAGATAACAGTCCAGCCTCTTCTTCTCACCAGCAATGCCTCGGGACTGCGGAAGAGAGCGGCGTGCCTATCAAGTATGGCATATGTACTAGTCGCCAGTGACACGTACTGAGCCTTGCCCATGATATCAATAAAACTATTCCTGTATGACGTACCGGATTCTGGTCGACGTGGTGATGGAAATATTGATATGGATGATGGGTGACAGGCCACACCTCCACTGTTGCTGACTCAGCAGCGTCGCGCGCTAGCGCTCAGCGCGCCTCCAACGCTCCAACGCTCGCCTGATCTTCCATGAGCAATAAGGCGCACCGTCACGAGTCCTGCTTGACAACACATCATACGCGAGAATCACGACTACGATCAGTCTCGTGGCAAAGTGTCAATCCAGTATACCATTATAATGTCACCGCCCGTTTCGAACGGCACGTGTAAGTCACTTCGTCCGAACTGACCGCAAACCAGTACCATCATCATGGTCGCCGCGACCCCCTCCTCAATATCTCCGTCGCTGTTCGTCTTTCGCGTCCCAGAGGTCGACTCACACGCAAACGCTCTTTCGCTGCAGCGGCCGCATGCTTCCTGATATCTCGCTGGCGTTCTTCTGCATGCGACGTATTTGAGCGTCCTCGAATACTATCTCTATCGGGCCTGCCTTTATGCAGCCTGGCTCCTCGATCGCTCGGCCGATGATCGCTACGCGTCTCGACGGCCTCCCTCCTTCCACGGCTGTGCCGCCTCGGTGCTTCAGCAGACCTACGTGAATACGATGCGGTTCGAGGAGCTCGATTCCGATGTGAGCTTTGCTCGCTGTTTTTGTGACTACGTCTGCTAGTCTGGTCTATCACGTCGACCTCGCTAGCTGGGGAACTATACTGGCGGTAGCCGTGGTGGTCGCGATCCTGTACGTTGGTTCGGGGTGCGTCTCGATGTGAGTGCAAGCTGCTCTGTGCCTTGCTCTTCCTCATAGAGTCTTGTCTCATCGCGGCGCGTCGAAAGCCCTCAAGTGGTGATAGACCTACCTCTGAGGGTCTGAGCTCGCTACGCCAGACCGGCAGTCTAGCTTGCCTCGCTTCCTCAGAGTTACGGGGAGACTGTTGACCACGCTTGGTATAGGGCGCTGCCCTGTACTCTTCTATCTCTCGAGAACCGCTGTCCTGGGGCCTTACTGAATATTCATAGATGCTATCCCTCATGTTGTTCGGGCTGGTCACAGAGTGGCCTACGTCACTCCCAAGACCCTCTACTGCAGCGATCTGACGCCAGCCTTGACAAGCTTCCATCAGCTTCAGCCTTGCTGATTCTCCGGATCTCCAAACCCCACACTCGGTAACATTAAAGTAACTGGACCGTATGGATAGGCTGCTCTCAAGTCCCGGGAGCAATTCGACAGCACGTAGTTGTGCGGACTTTAGGTCATCCCGTTTTTGTTCCCACGCCCTGCCCAGCTCTTGCGCTTTTGTAATCCAAATGTCCTGACGGAAGTCATCGCGAGCTTTAGCTTCATTTTCGTCGTCTGCTGCTACGGATGCAGACCCTCTTGGTCCAGCATTGTCTCCGCTCTTTGATCTAGCTTTTGCCAACTCATCATCGAAGTTATCCCGATACTTTCTGTATAGAAGTTCCGCTATCTTGGCAGCCTGCTGCTTTCCAGACATGTCCGCTACAACTCTTGCCCGCTTTTGCGGTCGGTCTGCTGTATCACTTTGACGATCAACACCGGCAGCATTGACCTGGGATCTACCATCTTCATGACGTCTTCTTGTTGCTCGCGTGATGATAGCGTCCCCTTTCCGCGGCTCAGGGTATGGCTTGAGGAACCCCGATTCTATTAACACCGGATCTAGCATGCGGTCAACGACGAGCCAAGCGTCGTGCCACGCATTTCGCTTTTCCTTGAGTTCGTCTTCTAGCATCGATTTATTATCAAGGATGATTTTCTGGTTATTTCGGCTTCGCATCAACTGTTGCCATAGATCATCCAACTCTTCCGCTTGTCTGTCGCTAGGAGTCCCAGCTTGTTCCAATTCTTTCTTTTTAAGCTGCAACCGAAAGTCAGTGGACTCAGCTATGCCAGCAGCATCTGGACCCTGCGTCTCGAATCGCTGTCGATGAACCTGAGCTTCGCTTTCGAACTTTCGGAAGCTTCTCCCAAGACAAAGCGCTCGCTGTATGCTAGCTGCAAGCTGTCTGGAAAAGACTAAGGCCTTAACCTGATCTTGATCTTGATCTTGTTGAAGAGCTATGTCAACAACCTTGGGTTCATTGCAGAAGGTCGATTGGTTAATCGCCGTCGTCGCCCATTGCTTGCAGGCCTTCTCAGACGACGTCTCTGGATATGGCAGTTCATGCGACATCTTGACATGTATCGGTATAATGGTGTATGGTAAGTGAACACGATTATTGGGGAACGTTGACCGACAGACAGTTATCGTGGAGATGCAAGTGCAAGGCCTTGTCGTCTATCTTTGGCTGTGGAAGTCAACAAAGGCATAAAGGCACTCAATGAGAAGACAAAGAGCCACGTTGAGCCCCGAAAACTTGACTGTCAACCATAGATTCAACGTTAATCTTGTTATGCTCGCATGTTGTCAGTACGTGCACGTCTCCTAGTTGTACGGAGGTACTCGAGTCTCTTCGTTAACGTTCCATGTTCATGACTCAACTCTGTTCTGACATCGCAAGCAGTTCGCCCTTCGGTAGCCCCATGGGAGCTGCTAGATATGAGAACAAAAATACCAGGGTAGCTGCACCTGCAGCGTACATTGAGGCAATGCGCTCTGCTTCAGTGCGCGCGTGCACAGATTGACCACATTTGCGGAACAGAGATTGGGTTTCATTACAGGCCCGGCGCTCGACTTGCGTGAATATCAGCGATAGCGTATGCACTCTTCAGGCTACAGCTCATTCATTATCTCTCCATCGCATCCGCCTGACGGGCCCTCGTAAACAAGCTAGTCTCGCCCCTAGCGCTATATCAACCCCAAACCCTTCTCCATGCGAAATCAGTCCTTCCCGATCTCTGCGCGCGACAGTCAAGTGACACATTACGATGGCGGGTCATGGGCAGCAAGGTAAGCTCTACGAGTCCGTTTCACGTATCTGCGATATTAACTTAGACTAGGACGCGAGGTCGGCGAGTACGACTACAAAGACATTGACCGTGACTACGAAGATGTCAGTCGCTGACTTTCGTAATGAAGTCGGATTACTAACGATCGATAGTCCGGCCTTCCTCCATTTGTTCCCGCCTTTGGCACCCCTACTGCTCAGATCGAGAAGCGCAAGTTCTCGAGCAAGTCAGATGTCGCCTCGAGGCATAGCAATATTAGCGAACCGGAGCGCTCCAATGAACAGCCGAGTACGACCCCTGAAGAAGGCCATAGATCGAAGCGACCCAGGATCGAAAAGGATGGTTCTACCGCTAAGACATCAGGGCGTCCGCGAAAGCGTACGCCAGACTCCGCATGGCAGGGTAATCGCATCACCTCCCATCTGGATCGATTTGGTGACATCAGCACCGAAGAAACTTCTGAGATACTGAGGCAAAGGATAAGGACCAAGCAAACTGAACTTGGCTCTCGTATCTACGGTCTTGAAGACTCCATGAACGAGTCTTTTCGCAACCGCGTGTTCATGGTTTTGAGTGAGGAGGCGGTGAGTATTCCACGTCGCCCCGAGATTCCTCTTGGATTCCGAGTCAAGGTCAATATGGCGTTTTGGGAACGAGCAGTGGGGTTCTCACATGACGAAGATACTCCTATCGGAGACCACGCCGCTGGCTCTGCACTGGGAAAGACCACCACAAAGCGGCGCTTGCATATCGTTCGTGCTATTCTAGGCGACGACAGGTTTCTGACTACGTGTGTGGAGACTCATGGTGAGCGAGGGCTCCACGCTCCGTACATATTGCCGGATACATACTGGCAATGGCTACGTATAGCTGATGCTCGCGAACGAAACCCCACCAACCATGGCCCTCACGGTGTTCTCAAGCTGGACACAAGCCAGGCGACGAAGCCAGCTCGCATCTCGGATATGTCATACGTGTTTGCCGGAGTTTCCACTCAATGCACGCTGACAGAGCACTGGGATTTCGCTGGATACCTTGATGAAGACAGTGTGACTCTGTTGGAAGCGCTTTTAAAGCGAGTCACAACATCGCAACGAGATGAAAAGATGGATCACGATGTCTACCACTCTATGGACTGGCGAGCTATAGACGATGGTCGAAAGGCCAAGGGCCTCGCCGCATACCCCCGGCCTGAACGGCGGTCATCCCCTCGTCGCACCAAGACTCCCCAACCTCTCCTGGATGATGACGAGTCCGACAACGATCGTAGGCGTTTCGATCATCGCCGCCGCTCTCATGATCGACGAGGTCGAGACCACCGGGCTTCATCTCGAAAGGATCGTGGTTACTCAAACACCGCATCTTACGAGAAAGATCGGCCACAGCGCCCTCGTGATTCAGACACCAGGAGCTCTCGACCGCGGTCAGGCAAGGGAAGGAGGGCCGATCAATATGACGACATTGACCGAAGCAAGGCTGATGGCCCTCGCGGAGACCACGCCACAGAAGGTACTCAGTCCTGGAATGGTGCTGTTCAAGGTATCAGGGCCGGTAGTGTGTATGTTGGCCCCAACTATTACAGCTGAGAGTCTACAGGCCGGACCGACCGCCTGAACGACGACGAAGGTCCTCCTGGATCGCGTGGCCTTGGTGGTTATTACGATCGCTCCTAATGCTGCGATTCAGTACTTCCTAGAGGGTTCTGGCGAGGAGAAAAAGCGCGACGGTATACGGAGAAGAGTAGACAGAAGGATGGTGGAGAAGCAGGACGAGAGGAGGTGTTTTTAGCACCCCGTCTCTGTGCCCTTGTGGTTCATACCCTGCATTAAGGCGGACTCAGCTGATATGAGCTTTCCAAAAATGTGGGAGCCAAGTTGATCGGATTCATGTAAAGTATCATTGTTGCCAATGGAAGATGACATCTAACGTTCTCGTGAGTGAATGTTAAGTTGCTTGCTTGGATGTGGAGATCGGGCAGAGAAGAGCCAGTGGTGACGTCAGTGCACGGGCCATGACGCGAAAGTCACGCGTAAGCGAGAGTCCAGCGTCCTTTCACCACTCGCGCTGTTACTGCACCCATGCACCCTACGTTCACAACAGCAGCCCTACTTCACTGTTTTCTCGTGTCTTTGATCGGATGCGATGACTTCGTTCTGCACATCATGATCCCCTAAACGCGATGAAGAAACGCAAGTTTGCGCGCCCGGCATGGAGGCTCGCTTGCATCGAAAGTCTCCTAGAGATTGGTGTCGTGCTGAGGCACCTGGGCATAGACTTTTACTAAGACGTAAGTTCTTCGTTCATTTCATTTCATGTTACTTTGACTGCTATCTGCTTTCAGTAGAGCTCTGAATGGAGGTATCAATTTACTTGTGCTGATCTCTCCCAGGAGCTCTCGCTATCTCCTACCAGCATGATGGTCAAATCCTAGTCCGATACTTCATTCAAGTCGCACACCGTTTCATAATAGACTTGGACCATCCTGTCACCAACGTCGCTCCTCGTAGAACTCCACCGCTCGGCCACGACCTTCGTACCGCATCACACGTGATAGTAGAATACCTTGGAAGTGCATTCGGTGGAATACATGGCGATGAGCTTCTGCTGCGCTTGACAGTTTGCGTAGTACATGATGCATTTGCTACACACCATGTGCTAATGACTCTCGTGTTTGGGGGCTGTCCTTTCGCCTCCGCGTGCCCACAACTCCGCTGGCGCTGATTGCTATCGTCTATAGAGCGAAGCCCATCTCTGTCACTCAGGTCATGACTTGAGCGCAGTTTCGGGCTGCGTTCGTCTCTCGGGTGGCGAGTGACAAGGGATTGGATGGGCTATCTACGGTGATCGCGTGAGAGACGCCTGCGTTCACCGGGGATAGCGTCGGATCACGCCGTCGCGATCGCGATACTCTCCCCTCTCTAGTCCAACACGAGAATTTCTTCGACCACGTTCTCGTCTCTCTCGATTCTGATCCAAGGAGGGTGATCCACTCCGACTTCGACTCTGACTTCTCAGCCTCGGAGAATCCCTCCTTCTTTGCCCGGTCTCCCCTCGTCGATCTACAGCTTCTCGCGAGCGTAGGCGTGGACTGCTTCTTCTTCCACGTTCAGACTCTGGCCTAGCAAGTCGTTCCTCTCTTCTCCTCTCCACAGTGGGACCGCTTCTTCGACGATTTTCTTCGACTTGATCGGAGCTATTATCTCGTTCGTCTGAGCGGTCGCTGTCGTACACCATCCACGTCCGGTCCGCGTGTCTATCTCTACGACGTGTCGCGGCTTCCGTCGATTCTCTGCGTCTGGACCGGAGTCGATCTCTTCGTTCCCCGCAGCTTCTGCCATTCGTCCCATCGCCGTGGGTCTGGCCCTGTTCATCATTGGTTCGATTGCCAAAAGTGGCCGCCGGTCTTCCAGTTCGATTCTCGCCGATGTTTTCATATTGCTTCAATATGCCAGCTTCCATCCATACGGTATCTAGCAGCTTATCCACTTCAAACCACGCATCCCTCCATCTCTCTATCTCTTTCTTGTCACCTTCGTCGAGGATGACGAGATTCCTCTCAATTACGTCCTTGTTGTTGCGCATGCGATGAAAGTCTTTGGCCAAAATTCTAAGCTCTTCCCTCTGCTGGTCGCTTGGCACAAGAGCTTGCTCAAGCTCCCTCTTTTTGAGCTGCAGCTCAAACTCAAGTATTTCGGCCAGACCTGCGTTGTCAAGTCTTTCAGTCTTGAGCTCCTTCAGCTTGGCTTTAGTAAATTGAGCAGACAACCTGTGCTGCCGGCCCAGGCAAAGTGCTTGTTGAATCTTCATTGCCAAATCACGACACAGTGTCAAAGCAAGGGTGTTGTCATCACCTTCTTTGATTTCTGTCAGCTTTGGACTTTTTCTCGTGTAGTTACGGGCCACGGTTGGTGCCGCCCAACGGACGACGCTAGCCTCTTCTTTCGTGAGCGGATGTCCTGCATGGTAAGGCATCTTCGCTGGTTCTGTCTGGCCGTAAAGATGATGATGAGATTTCTTTCTCCCGTTGATCATGATGAAGTTCTTCGACGAAAAAAACAAAACGGACAGCCTTTTATATACGGCAATAGAAGTTCAAAGAAGCGAACAAAGGACTACGAACAAGACAAAGCATGCTTTCATGGGAGCTATTTCAGCCTCGATCTTGCTTACATGCGACATTCGATGAGGGTGCCTCGAGGCACTCCCGCTGAAAGACGCAAGCAAAAGTCAGATGCAGCGTTAGCGACCATTTGTATCATAAATATGCTCCTGATCTGGGGGGCACTTACCTCGGACGAGTCATATCCACTTATTATGAACGGTTGTCGGAACAGCGCAGTAAGGCTGTTACAACTTTCACTGCAGCCTCGAACACTGTCGACTCTGGTCACGTGCGCTGAACGCTCGATTTCATTACAGGGCACAGGTGCTCTTGCGCCACACCCTGTTCACGGTGGTCCACTCTACTGCAGAAGAAGTTCCATACGGGTCTTTTTGTTGACTTTGCGCTCTGCCTGACTACTCAGCCAATACCGGCCAAGCACCACCTCTCAACCAACTTCTTTACAAGACACAACTACATAGAAGACAGAGTCTCCAGCTTGGCACAGAACGAAGACGGTGACACTGCACATCTGTCTCGTTGCTTCCTTCCAGATACCATGCAGTCTCCTGGGCACGGGTCTTCGGTACGTACAACATGTTCATTCCACATTCGATTGTATCAATCTCTTCTCTCCACAAACATTTCACAGCATATTCGCATTGAGAGCGACTAACATGATACAGGCTGATACTCCAGGTGATCATGCCGAGATCACGTCTGATGAGTTCACCATTCAAGAGGTTTTGGATAGCGAAGCCGCGTGCAAGGGGCCACCTCGCGGCACAGACAATTTCGAACCGAAGCCTACCAACGAGAAGAATCAGCCAGACCTTCAATTGACTTCCACCAAACGGCCTCACGAACACACGTCTGACGAAGACGAAAGAAGAGTTCGCGTCAAAACCAACAGCACTCCACAAAGCCCATCAACATCGGATGGCCTGCTTACACCACCTTCAGCACACGTCGGCGGACGAACTCCGGATATTGTGCGGATTATGGACTTCGTTGCAGCGGTCACTGGTGATATTGTTGCAGCTTTGGAAGATAAATCTTCGACCACCAGTGACCTTACACGCAAGACCGTTTTGAGTCAGTTACAAGAAGTGCTTGGTATGCTTGTCCCTTGTGTAACGAAGGTCCGCGACATAAGAGTCCTTGGCATTGAGATCGTCGGGCTTGCAGCTTTGGTAGATCCCTCGCTCGAGTTTGAGGGAATATTCACTATCATCTCGTCGCCCTATGCTGGCAGTATCCCGACGCCACTGAAACCAGATTACACCTACTTCCTCTCTATCGGAGATATATTCTGGGATCGCGCGACGGAGTTTTCGGCCGACAAAAACTTGAAACCTGGTATAAAGGCCGCCCCAAGTCCACAAGGATTAGTTTGTGCTGCTTTCCGTCTGCACATTGTCACAAAAGTGACGCCCCGAAATGTGTGGGCAACAGTCTGTCGACTGAGTAGCGGCAATGGGGTGTCACGCCTGAGCAAGGAGGACCTTTGGATGTACTTCCATCTTCACAGTGGCGCACACGGGAGGCTGCCACGAAGCAGGAAAGCTGATCATAACGATACCCCACACGCATCGCTGACATATACCCCGGACCGTGATTACGAAGGCCCCAAGGTCGGTCAACACACACACTTCTGTGCGTTAGATGCAGTACCGCACTACCCTAGCGAGGAAATGGTACCTGTGGGGAGTCTTGATGATGATAGTCGCAACCTCTTCCTTGGGGTCAAGGCCAATGCAAACAGTCCAAGTGGAAACCTCGTCGCACGTCCGATAGGCATGGACCAAGCTGCGGTGGAGCGCGGCCTTGGGCTAGTAGACCGCTCTCCTCGCAAGGCTATGCCTCTTGCACAGGCTGAGCGGACACGTGACAAACTGTTCCATCAACTGCGCATTCATCCCTCCAAAGGGACTACCGCGAGAGATTTCGTGACAAACTCCGCGAGAGATCCCGCAAATCTCCTCACAAAGTCAAGCGCGTTCAGCTCCGCGTACTCAGCGACAATTCCCAATGAAGAACAAACCAGGTCCTCAGTTGATCACCCTCGAAACCAACCCGTCAACAAGGTCAGTCCATTCAACGTCATGCCTCACATTCTTTTCAGCCCAGTATCGCATCCACACCAGCAAACATCAGCGCATGCTGCGGATGCGGTGAGGGCAGGTCGAAGATTTGGGGACGAAAGGGCCGGTACTCCAGCCACCGGCCAACGGGAAGCTCCTTCTCATGCTAACACAATGCCCAAGATCGCTTCGATTGCCAACCAACCTGCCATGGCACAAACTTTACATCAGCACGATGGAGTAATGACCAATGCCATCCTCAATGTGACAGAGCAGAACCAGTCCCTCAATCTCAACCACCCGGTATCGAGCCCGCAATCCAGTCCAGAGAGGAAACGTACCGATGGGGATGATTAGCTCTGCTCGTAGCTACGGAGTGGGCTTTGAAGGTGAGGTACATGGTTGCTTCGTAACGCAGTGACGAACTCGTTCACCGTGCGTCGTGGAATAGCTAGTCTTCGGATTTCTCTCCTATATAGTATCCCGCCAGTGTTGTCTGGGCGCGCCGCCGCCTAGTATTTCATGGTATGATGCATGACAGCTTGCATTCATCAACGAGAGCATCAATTAAGTCATATTTGCAGGTCTCATCTCGTCAACAAGAGGCTGGTCTAGATCACAGTGTGATTGAACTTTCACGAAACTAATCAAGTAACGATACTGGCCTACTACACAATGTTTTACTTCATACCAAACACTACCCTTTTCACAAAGCACCCTATCTACCACAACCCCTGCCTTCATCTTCAGGCGGGTTTCGACTTCTTATCCTCCGAGCGCTTTCATCGCGAGTCCTACGCTGCTGACTTTCGCGGTGATCGCGTTCCCGATATCTTGGTGCGTCTCTAGACGTACCTTGTTCGCGTCCTGGGCTGCTTGATCGACTTCGGTTCCGTCGTTCGCGATGCGCATCATGATCACCCGCTTGTTGTCGCGCGTGGCTAGGCATGGAGATATCGTTGGCATGACGTGGTGGTGCCGGCGGCGGCGGCGGCGGCGGCGGCGGGCGCGACGGATATGCCCGATACGGTCTTCGCAGATACTCATTAGAGTCTTGGGACGAGCTCGGAGATGTTTGAAGATCCCCATTGTTATAGGGTCGTCCTGTGGGATGCCTGTGATGAGTATTTACACCTTTCCCCTTGTCGAGGTTCGTGGGGCTTTGGGCTTGGCCACTGTTTTGCCATTCCGAGATATCGCTTCTTCGCCTTCCTGCCTGCCTTTGTCGAGCGATTTCTGCCTCCGGTGCAGCTAACGGCACGTCGTCGCCAGGTATAGTCGCCCGGCCTCCGCTTCGTCCGACTTCCTTCTTTGACTCAGTCGCTCTAGGTGGCCTTTCGTTGTCCGCATCAGAATCGTCGTCCGCCACTAACCGTCCTGCATCTTTCCATACTTTGGCTAGAATCTTGTCTACGTCAGTCCAAGCCTTCCGCCACCTATCCAAGCCGCGCGCAACATTTCTATCCCAAGTCGCTATCCTTTCGTTCCAGAGGTTCTGATTGGCTTTGAGTCGTTCGACACCTTGGGCCAAGTTCGCCAATGTCTTCTTTTGTAACATAGTTGGCTCTTTGTTCGGCTGTATCTCTGATCGCTTGACGTTCAAGCGATGCGTGATCGCCTCCAAAGATCCAGTGTTGTCAGCTTGCTCCAGGAGCAATTCGTACTTCCATTTCTTGACGTTCTTGACTCCCTGGATATAACTACGTCCCAACGCAAGAGCCGTCTCAATCTTTCCCTCGAGCTCTCCTGTTAGAACTAATGCCCAAGTTTCGCGCCTACCGTCTCGTACTCTCTTAAGTCGCGGACGCGCACTGTTCGATGTCGAGATATTTGCAGTCGAATGAATCCAATTCCGACATGCTTGTTCCGAGTGTGTCGTCTCTAATTCTGCGTTGTCGTACATGACTCTACTTTTCTTGGGAGGTGAACGTGAACTCGACAAGATGCGCGAAGCTTCCGGACTTTTAAGTACAACGACAAAGCTAGCAAGTTTCTTTCACCACGATGTCGCTTTGTGATTTTAAAACAAAGGTTTTTTTAGTCCGACCAGCCACGCAATGATCACAAGGTTGAAGTGGAACGCTCTACAGGTATGACTACGCAATCTGATTGGCTACCACCCGCTCTTGTGTTGAAATTGCTTCCCTTTTCGAGAGGACCTGATACACCACGATCTAGCTACCACTTGAAGCTCAGAAGCGAGATTTAGATAAATTCAAAACCATCGAAACCCACTAGGTGTATCAAATTCGGATGTCAATTCGATCTGTTCCATCTAAGCGGCAGTGGCAGACACAACTACACGACGATCATGCAGCATTCACTGACGCGTTGCGCGGATCGGGTTCTGCCAATTGTGCACTACGTCAGAAACGCGCTGACTACAATGGATTGAGTCTTCATGGGAGCACAGAGCTCTGCTGATGCACCCATTGAGAGTCAGTGCACCGCAATCTACTACATCAACTCCGCATTTCACTATTCCTTCTCGGAAAGACTTTTCTAGACAACCAAGCTCTCAATTAAACTATCACAACCCCTTCGAACATTGCATATACACAAGCCGCTTACACGTTTCAAGTCCGCTCAACATGGCGGATCGTCACCGTCAACAAGGTAAGGCTTCATGTCTCTACATATTTCAGCACTTTACTAATTAAAACAGACAAGGATAGCCCACAGGCATCGCGAGGGGCACGCTCCAAGGTCTTTGAGCAACGCGACGATGAGAAATTCGCGACAATCGAACTCGAGGAGGCCGTAGTCACCGAGGCGGAAAGCTCGACACTGAGCCCGGCCAGCCCTCCCCCGCAACCTGAACAAGACATCGAGCGCGTTCCGCAGCCGATTCACGCCCCTTCTCCACGACCACAACGGGGGGCACGCGAAGCGAGTGTTGATAGCCAAGACGGGTATCATACACCTTCGGAGTTCCCTCAAGAAGAGCGCGAACCTGCTGCTAGCTCGCGAGAGCAACCTACACGCCCTCACGATAGGCAAACAACCAACCATGCGCCAACCGAGCCGCAGTCTCGTCCGGGTACGAACACAGCTCCTGCACTATCTCCCCAAGAAGAGCGTAGCTTGGCCGCCATTCCCCAAGACCAGAGCGCACTGCTTCATGAAACTGGTAGACATGTCGTCAACACCCCACCGACCGGCCCGCGACCTCGTCTGGGTAACAGTCTAGCATATCGGCTTTTCGAAAGCTTCCTGCTTGCCCAAGACGAGCCCATTCCACCTGTTGACATGTCCACCAATGAAGGGAAAAACCGCTTCATTCAAGTCCTACAAGACTTTTTCCAGTACGCAGCGCGTCGACCAGAATCAGATGGAGGTATCGTCAGGCGTGGGGGACTTGGACTAGACATGGGCAACATCTTGACCGTCCTCTTTCCTGGATTCGCTGGCTTTACAGCTCTTGTCCTTTCCCAGCGCGCCAACAGCGTTCCTAAACAAGTCCGACGACCGCTTGGAACCTTCTTACGCAAGGGCGATCTGTTCTGGGCAGTCACCAACGAATGGGTTGCTGATAAACACCAAGAACTTGGAGACAAATCCGCACCAACCAACTATGGACCCATCTTGACAGCCTTCCGGCTTCAAGTAGTGGTAGACTCCGATCCAGACATGCTACATGTCGTCTACGGTCGCTGCAGACAGTTCAGTGGGCTGGAAAAGATTCCCGATCGTCAGAAATGGAAGAATCTTCGACTGCTTGACGAATCGCTACCAGATAACCAGCCTGGGAATGACAGCCCCCACGGCAACGCCCGAGTTCTGGTAGGAGATCAATGGGACAATTGTATGGCTATCAACTCGCTTTGCCACATCAATGTGGTCGAAGTGCAGTCAATCACAACCATGCCCTGGGGGTGGATCTATGCTGGCCGTCTATCGGGCGACGCACTTGCCATGTTAGACAACCTTCGGAAAGCGTATTTCAACAAGAATGCTGACATCGCTCCGGTGCCTCAGGGTATATGTCATCAAGCAGTATGTGAAGGACTTCGCGGATTTGCTCCGCCTATCCACCCACCGAGGGAGAGCGAGTTTAAGAGGGCGAAACACAATCCGCGTCATCTTTTTCCAGACTACAAGGCGAGTGTGGAACCCGATTGGGATGCTCAACGCACGACTAGAGCTCAGCGTTCTCGCAACCCGTATCAAGGATACGGACAACAACGCCGGCCCGGTGATCGAGCACAGGATAGGGGCCGCCAGGATCAGCGTGACACCTATGGCCGAACCCGTCCAAATTCGCATCCGCGTCCGCGTACCCGTAGTCGTTCACCCCGTCCAAGGGACGACCATCGTCGAGCACGATCTCGCGATGACCGTCACTACCGACCAGAAAACTACGAAGGTCAGCATCCGCGCCGCCATCAAGACGATCGCCCTGCTGAGACGCGTCTCGGCGATCATGTCCACACTCGGCCCGTGTTCCATCCCGTGAACAACGTGATGCAAGATGGGCGATATCAGCCTCAGGTTTACCATAATCATGCATCGCGCGATCCCGACGACGACCGCAATCGCGAGCGTGGATACTACGAGGACGACCGTGGCCGTGACCGAAATGAATAGGGTGGCGCGTACCAGAATCCTGAGCCGCGCGATCACGACGACAACCGCAATCGCGAGCGTGAACACTACGAGGACGATGGTGGCCGTGGCATGCATGAGCAGGGTGGCGAGTACCAGAATGGAGATTTACTCAACTATGGTTGAGCGTACAAGAGGCCTCTCGTACGAAGAAGCCTCTTTGTTCCCCTGGTATCCGGATTCGGAGCGCGTAGATGGGTCGATGTCGGCATCTCATCTCAAGAGGTGTTCTCGATGTACGTTACAGTGAGCTTCAATTGAGGAAATGGGCTTGTTACCGCCGAAATATAAAACGAGGCTTTGTTCATTGTAAATCGTGTAGAACAATGAAGTATAGATTTCTCGATGGCGCGATGTGGTTTGGTCAAGCTTTTGTTATCGAAATTCCTTAACAACCGAAGGACGAAACGATGTCTACATGGTTCTTTGTGTGGTTTCCTGACTGCAAAACCCTATGTGAAGTGACCTCATTGTTCAAATTGCAGTATATGCGAGCTGTAACAAGGGTATCGCAACGTGATAGCCTCAGTCAATGCTCGCTGTTCGTATGATAACTGCGTTGACGATGGTCCGACAAGCCTAATTGCTGCGGCCGCAACATGGGCCGACAGCTGTCGGGTGCTAATCACAACGTAATTGTAGGTCTCGCCGCATCTCGAGTAGTGGTCCTTATTGATTCGCGAAGGCTGTAGCACAGGATAAGTGAAGTCTTCGGAGTCTGCTGGCGCAGCGGACTCGGGGCACGAAAGTCCCAACAAAGACATGTTTTCGTGTGCTTGTATCCAAACATGTCGCATGCGACGAGAACTGAGGCGCAGAGAAATTAATAACCGTCTAACGAGCGATGGACTGTGCGATAGCCGTTTCGATTTTGATACAATAAGAGGAAAAGGGAGTCGAGGGGCGGAGGACCGAGAACTCCGAGATGATCTCCTGAAGCTAATCCAAAAACGCGGCGCACGGAGACACTAAGCACGTGTCATGACATCACTCGTCGCCTTGCAATGATCATGTTCTCTTTTTCCAATTCTACGATCGAATCTAGATGCGCATCAAAATGATTGCATCAATGGTCTGCAACTACATACAATGACTTAGGAACGATGACACGCCGCACAAATTCCTCTCATCATTGCTTCCGATGTTCGCTGGGGCGCGTTGTGTGCATCACGGTGCGACCTGCACCTAGATCGATACTTGAGACATATCATTCTCTCTGGAACCAAGCATCCTGAACAACCTCTTTCGCTGATGCCCTAGCGGAAGTCTCCATTCGTAGCATGCTTCTGATAAGTGCGCCGACATGCAAAATGTCTTCTCGACTCAGATCCGCGCGTCTCTCTCCATCAAAGTACATTTCCTCTAACCATTCTTGAAGTGAGCTAGTGGGATCGCTCTCATCCAATGATTTTTCCATGGCATGCCAATCCATCTTCCAACGCTCCGGCAAATCGTCGCTGACTGTCTCGAGCATCTGACGCACAAGGCTGGCAGGTGTTGTCATGAAGCTGTCAAACGGTGGCTGTCCGACAATGAGCTCGAAAAGCTTAATACTTTATCAGCTATCCATCGAGACGCTAGGGCTCACATGGCAGAAGTCGGACTCACCAAACAACCCATACTCCAAAGATCTACGCGATAATCCACCTTATCTTTGAAGATAATCTCCGGGGCACGCACGGGAAGTGGAGTACGTAGGGCGCCGGGACACTCGTTGTGTAAGAAAGATTGACCAAAATCAATGATCTTGATCGAGCTGAAGGATGACTTGATGTCTATAGGGTAGGAGGTAGGTCTGACGAGATATCGGGGCATATTAGGTCCTATTGGCCGACCATGCCTTCTTTGCACAGTGCCTGTTTCGGGCCGTCCCAGCTTTTGGAGGAAATCTTCTTCTCGCAAGGCTTGGAGCGAAGGGATCGTGAACGCTAGGTTGCGCGTATGCAGATCTAAGGACGATGAGTAGAGTTAATTTGAACACCGGCATCATACTGTACCTGCATGCGCAATTCCTCGCTCGTGAAGGCAGCACAAACCAAGCAAAGCTTGTTTCGCAATGGTTTTCGCAAGCTTTCCAGGAAGCCTTTCCATGAAATGCGCGTCGAGGTAATCGGCCACACTTGGTCCTAAGAACTCCAACACAAGACATGCATGGGTCCCATTTGGACCACTAATCTGGAAACAATCTGTCATTGTCATGAGACGCTGGTAGCCAGGCTGATTCGATTGCGCTGCCGTTATTGTACGCAAGACTGCAGTCTCTCGATTTTGATGGATTGTCTCGGATACCGATATCTTTAAAGCGACATAGGTTTGGTTCCTAGTAGCATCTCAGCTCAAGTCGTCGATGTTTCGTAGAAATCGGGACCTGATATCGCGCGCGGCCCAGACAGTCGAGTATCCACCCCAGCCTAATTTATGCAGGACTTTGTATCTGCCATTGCTCAAACGATCGCCAAGGTGAATGGGGTGATAGCCACCCTTTTTGTAACGATGCAAAGGCTCGGCATCAATATCGCAACCATGTGTGGACCAGTCCATTGATGGACCAGGCTGAGAAGGACGCGCAAGCGTAGATGAAAGTGAACGTCTAGGCGCGAGTGCTGCCCAGGGCGATTTGTCTACCAGCCATTTCTGAGCTGATATTGTGTGAACTCGAACGCTTGTCCTAGCGGCATTCATGTTTTCGCTCACACGCTTGCATTGAGGTGTGAAAGATGTCTAGCTACCTAGGTACTCTATGGTGGGGTGGAGATCAGACCCTTGAGAAGGGACCCGTGGACGCCAAGAAATTATGTACGGTGCCGGGCCGCAAGTTGAGCCGGCGCGCGTTTCGAGCCACCCAAACATCCTAATCATCCCAACTCCTACGCGCCATAACTCCAGCAACATGCACCCAATTTAGAAAGCAATCGCGGCAACCGATTCGCGCGAAAAGGTTTCGAGTCATACTGAACGTCTGGAATAAGCTCACGATCGCACCTCCTACCCGTGATCGCTCCTGCTGCGCCGCGCCTCCAACACACATAAAAAACAGATAAGACTCGTCTGGGGTTCAGACTACTGTTCGCATCCAATAACTTAACTAAATTCAACACAACTCTCCCCACGACCTTGATACGGCTTGAAAAAGTCGCGAATCGACATTCTCATGGACTCTGGAGTCCTTCCCGCGACTGCCTGCACACATGGCTCTTCCTGAGCCCACCCGAGGCTCTGCACTTCACATGCCGAGGATTCACTCTCATTCGTCGAAGACTCGCCTACTTTTCGAGCTTTCCTTTCGCTCACGTCGTGATTCTCCCGCTTTCGCTTATTGCCACTGGGGCGATGAGGCAAGCCTTCACACGGTTCGGTCGGCTTCGGAGATGGCGTCTCTCTCTTGTTGTACTCTAGCGCTAATTGCCTCAGGCCATCTCTGAAATCCTGAGCCTGTTGCGACATTGGTACGGAGGGGTTTGTAGCTTGGCCTGTCCATGCTTCGACGCTGTCGTCGATGCTTATATCGCTAAACGGATGCTCGACGTCATCTGCCATGATTGCTGCTGGCACAACGTCGCGCACAGAGATTTGGCTATCTTTGTCTCGATAGTCATCTGGTCTATTCCAGTCAAGTGACGGTTTCGCTGTGATCTCTAGACGAGCTGGGGTGATGTCGCATGTATCGCAATTGGATCCCGCCACACGCCACAGTTCCGGATCACTCTGAACATGGGAATGAGATGAAGCCGGCGAACGTGGACTCGCAAGACCATCATGTGAATTCTCGGATTGAGCTCGGTCATGGTGTTGTCCATGGTGTTGTCTACGGGCATGTCTTTGCGACCATGAGCGGGACTGAGATCGATAACGAGATTGTCCACGACTTCGCCCACTCAATCTTTCCTGCCTTCCATGGTCATGGGTATGAGGCTCTCTTCTACGATGCCTGGACCTGTTGTCTTGTCTTCGCGATCGAGAATGAGACCTGGACCGAGACTCAGTGCGAGGACGTTGGGCATGATTAGTACTTCGCGATCTAGCCTCCCGCCTCTGTTCGCGGTGTGATCTCCGATGTCTTCTGTCCCGGGATCTTGACCGAGCGCGCGGCTCTCGGTGCCTGGGTACTGAATCATCCCGGCTAGATGCTCGATCAGGCTCATATCTATCGATCTGACCATCACGCACCCACAGGCGATCGAGTTCTTGTTGCACCGCAAACCAGGCATTTATCCATCTCTCTTTGCCTAACTTTACCGAGTCTTCTGCGAGTCGACGGTAATACTGGTAGTATTTCTTCGTCCTATGACACTTCTTTCGCTCTTCTAGAAGGTCTTGCAGCTTATTTCTTTCCTGATCAGTTGCTTGTCCAGTTTTTCTAACCTTCTTTTTCATAACTTCTATCAGGTGTTCCAACTCTTCCTCCCAAGCCTCGGTTCTGGCTCCAGCCTCGAAACGGCCCTTGTCTTCATCAGCCACGCTTTCGGGGGTTCTCCAGTATTGGTGAGCGATGCATAAAGCTTTGCGTATCTTTTCCGCCAGTGGTTTGGACAGAACCAACGCATCAGGCGACTCTCGCCCGTCCTGAACTCGTAGGAAATGTGCTGACCTATCAGTGCATTCTATTCTCTCTCTGTCTTTCGACGTCCAGCGACGATATATGCCTTTCAATTGATTGACGTGATATTCAGGGTCCCAGTCATGATAAAAAAGGTGATTAGGCTCCATCTTGGCAGGTTTCTAGATAGCATGATGGCAAAGCGAGTCGTGATGATATAGGCTCAAACAAAGGAGGCTTACAGATCCACGTATATCCGGATTCGGTAAACGTAGTGCAACTACAACAAAGACATCATTCTTCTTTCATGTAGACAACGGCCTTTCACACTCGCTAGCTCTCGACGGCCCAGCTCTGTCAGAGAGATTGCGAGACTAGACTGGATCGAGCTTACACAACACCACTGGGCACGTACCTCAGCTTGCGACTAGCAGATGCAACGACTTTTGACATTCACTGAAGCCAAGACAACCACGATGCCTGCCCCTATTTCAACAGAGCCCCCTCTGGGATTACAGTCGCTACCACTCCATGGGCACCTCAACTCACCTGGACCTTTCATCCTCGCCTCGACAATTGAAAGGGATTGACCTCCATGCCTCGCGGAAGCCAAACCCCAAAGCAGCCTCCGGGCCTTGAACGTGCACAGGTTCCACAGGAGGTTGCCAAAGGGTCACCATACGATTTGCGCAATGATCGTAGGCCGGCAGAGGAGCACGATGACAGTCGCGCGGAGGAGCAAGATCACCGCGGCCGCGACAGACAAGGCAATGAGCCCTCCAAACACGAACCAGATGAGCCTCCTCGTCGACAAAAACGATCACGCTCACGCACGCGCTCTCGTGACCGAGATCAAGGCCATCCTAGGAGCCCATCCAGGGTTGCAAAACGAGCGCGGAAAGGTAAACCTTCTCGGCCGCGGCGGGAACACCCAGCCAGAGAAGGCGATCGACCTTCCAGGAACGAGCATGCTCGAGGTCGCGATGCCCACCAGAAACAATTGCCCTCCCCTGAGCGTACTCCAGCTCCCCCCAAGCGCAATCCAGATTCCACCAAGCGGACTCCAGATCCATCCGACCGCACTCCAGATCTGCTACGCCTGTCTTCAGCTCCCGGCATAGGCTACACTGTGATAGACCACAGCAAGAAGACACGCTTTCAATGGGGACCGGCGTATGGACAGCCCCAGGATACGTGTCAGGAAGATCTGACGAAGTTACTTAAAGCCGGGACTGTGATATCCGTTCGACATTGCGATTTTTCGTCCGACCCTGATGCGGAAGTTGGAGAGAAGTTCACGCTGTCTTCGCAAGGACTGATATACATCAAAGAAGACGTCCCTTTTGTGGTTTGCCGAGTTGAGCCTACTTACGTCACCGGCTGGTATTGTCGCAGCGTTGGTGATCGTGGCTTAGGAGTGCCTTGGATATCGGAGTCGGAACGCGCAAAGTACATGGGAATGGCGACGAAAGACGACCCGAACGGACCTGGGGGAAACAACAGTCCGCACGTCCAGCTCCAAATGACGCGAAGGGGACTAACCAGGTTCCTCAAGCCAACAACTCATGTCTTCGCTGGCGAGATGTCAAGGGCTAAGGTTCCACCAAATTTTTATATCTGGGGCTGGCTCGCGGCCGAGCAATTCTACCGTTTGATGAAATTGCACGAGTTTCTCACGGCATCTCCTGGATCGGCTGCCGGAAGAATCGCTTCGGTTCCAACGACTATTGGCTTCGATATCGATGCGCTGACCCGGTTACGGACTGCGAAGCAATCTTTGCTTGTAGGTTTCGAAAAGAAAATCGCGGCTCTCGAGGCTCAACACAAGCCGAAGCCACCCAACGAGGACACAGACGCAAACACCCGTCCGCCTCGGGTTCAGACAGCACCAGATGGGCGTAACCCAGCTCCTATCACGCGTGCCGGTGCCGGAGACGTTAGCACGACAAGGACGCCGCCACCACCACCACCACCACCACCACCAGCGACTACGCGGGCTAATCACAAGAGGACACGGCCAGCGCAGCCTCAACGACCGCGGACTGCGAATGATACGAGGGACAGCGGGTTTCATCCACCGACGGGGCCGAGATACATGCGCGAGCGCGACCGTCAGCCTCGTTCGTCAACAAGGCCTCGTCAACCACCAAATCCTTAGGGCCGCGTCATTCTAGGAAAAAGCTGAACACCCTGGAGCCTACGTTGACGTTGGGTCAGACACTTTGCAGGTCTTTGTCTTGATGTAGTCCGCAGGCCTGTTCAGGTTCTTTCTTGTATGAGGTGGGGCAGCGTAACAAGTCTTTCAGACGGTTTGGAAGGAACAACGGGTGACATCGGTCCACACCAATCTTCAGTTCACAATGAGCAGCGCAATGTGCTCAAGGAACAAAGCGCGGAAGATTGTTCGTCGGCTTTAGCGATAAAGAGGCACGAAGAGGGCCTGTCAGGTATACTGTTGGTGTCAGAAATGAGATGCGCTCATGTTATGAGTTTGTATAGCAAGGATGTTGTTGCGAGGTTGATAATCTGCTGTATATAGGGGTCGAGATGACATCTTGATTCGAGACCCAGTCTGTTTTGTATGGGAGATAGGCTTGCTATATGAGGAAAACAAAATAAGAAATAGTCTGTTTGTACATAGAATGTAACAGCATTACAACAAATGAGGCTGAATAGCGCAAAGCTTGTGAAGGAAGGAAGGATGCGTGGATGCCCAAGTGACGATGCGGCTCCTTGCCCGCCAAGACCCCGGAGATTGCCGGCGCCGATCATCACAACTCAAGGAAGCATCACTCGTGAACTTCGACAACTGCGCCAGCTTCTCGTCTACGGGCTATACAGCATGCTCTGTGTAGTCGCTTGTCACTTTCTCGTCGCTTCCGTATAGACTATAGATCTACGTTCACACTAGCGCGTACACAGCTCCACCGCTCCCGCCAGCCACTGTCGCGCGCGCATTCGATGGGTATCTGCTCGTCGTGCCTGGGAGGGCGCAGGACTTCCGAGTCTGATGTAAGTTCACAGGGACATTACACTGCGCTATACAAGTACTTACCCTTCCCTACAGAACTCGGACGCCTCGCACCTACTCGGAGACCAGTACCAGCCCAACTATGGAACAGCCAGCAGCACCCACAACGCGCCCCAGCCAGACCCGGAAGAGCTTCGCCGTCAGCGAGAGAACCTGGAGCGTATTTGCGCTGAGACGAATGAGTGAGTGCCACCTTCCTCATCTTCGAGCGTTCCTTCCTGCATAGGAGTCTGCACCTTCCCACGAAGGCGCCCGTCCCTTCCCGAAAAGGAGCCCGTACCTTCCAATTTAAGGGCTACAGATGCCCTCCGGACGTTCCCTATTTTCAGTAAGACATGGCACTGATCACATACAGGCAACTGATCCCCGTCTCTCAACCGAGCGCCCTTCCCGAAGTCACCGAACAGCCCTCCAAGAACGACGAATACGCACACCTCTTCAACGAGCGCTTCAAGTCGATACGAAGCCAGCGTCCATCCTCCGCCGGTAACGACGATGACGACGAAACAACATGGCTCGAGAACGCCATGGGCAACCAGGGCGAGGATGAGCTGGAGCAGATTAAGCCAGCAAAGGGAAAGCTGACGATTCAGTTCGGCCAGCGATAGACACCTACACCGAGGGTTTTGGGGACAGCGATATCTTCCGACCCTGTGCGGGCTCTTCAGCTGAGGCTATACGTACCTTTTCATTGTTTGTCGCATTCTGCATTGCATCAGCGCCATTACGGATACCCATAATCTTTTCCTTCTGTTATTCCTACGCCTCGAGATGAGGTCGTTTACGTACGTCTTCAAGTAGCATAATCATGTCTGCATCGAACGTCTTCTCGTCTCCTTTCGTTCATGCGTGTCAAGAGTTGGCTTGGCAATGCCGTTATACGAGGCACGTTCTTCTTCGTTACTCATTTGATGCAATTGGTTTCTACATACATGCTCCTACGATAGTACTTCGCTATCCTAGGCGAATGCCAAGCTGGTCAGACGAAGCCAACCAATGCCGACTCGCTACCCATGTGAATGGACTGATGAAAGTTCCGACAACTCTGTCTATCGCTGAAGGTCTATCAATGCAAGAAGGAGGCCAAGGTAATCATCGCCCGGGCCAATGCAACACCATCACCGCCATCACCTACCCTAGACAGCCTTGGACAACAAGTCCGGAGGACCAGTCGCAGGCTTCTCGTCACTCACGCCCAACTCCGCCAGCATACTGCCAGCGCGCTCGTCCATCAACTTGGCCAACTCCTCCCGAAACTTCTCGTCGATGAAGTCAAGACGCAACTTCAAGCCCGGTTGCACCATGCGCTGCTTCTCCGGGTCGAGCTTCTTGAACGTCTTCTTGCCCCAGACCAAAGCGGCGCTCTCCATTGCGTTGAAGAGGGCTTTGTTGTCGTCTCCGTCCATGGTCTCAGCATTGAGGTACTTGGTAGCCATCTGCTCGACGAAAGCGCCAACGGTGCATTCGTTAGCAGCCTGGTCAGCCTCGTTCTTCGTTGTGTCAGCTTTCTCGTCGTCGATCACAGCTCTATACTCGTTACTTACACTCTGCTCAGCCAAGGAGGCCACGGTCTCTTCTCCAGTCGTCTCGCCTGTCTGGTCTAATCCCATCTTCTCACGGAGATGCTTCTGGATGTACTTGTACGTCTCGCCCTGTGGCCTCGGTACACCACCTCGCTTGATGATGTCTGGGATCCTTGACGCAGGGTTCGACAGGACGGGGTTCTGGCGACTCAACAGCGGCTCTTCGTATGGTCCGATGGCAGCGTCGTAGAGGGCCTCGTCGCCCTTGTACTCGCCGCCTAGG